TGCAGCAGTTCACCTCTGGCTCGCTCGTTACCGCAAGCAGCCCGAGTGTCATGTACCTCCGTTTCTGCTGATAATGCTCAAAAGGTGCAAGGAAGAACATAACTGTAATTATCTAAATCAGATCTGGACACAGCAGCAACATTTCTGTGCTGTGCCAGAGCTATCAAGTTAAAAGAACAGAAATCTCAGTATTCTACCCGTACCTGCAGATGCAGTTTAAATGTTACAAATGTAATGGGAGAAGTCATAAAAACTGCAGGCATGACATAGCAATTTCAGTAAATACAGCACAGTAAATTGCTTATTAAATCAAGCTGCCCTCAAACAGGAGCTGTGGCCACAAATTCAAATGACACAACAACATAATTTAACTGTGCCAAATCACACCGCTCCCATCCTTTTCTTCCCAACCCTGAAATTTTACAGCTTCTTAGGGGAGTGAAAAAAACCTTCTGGAAGCACAAAACCTTCTGTGAGGAATAAGCAGAGAGCACAGAAGGGTAGTGAATGTGTATGTGCTGCGCTGGATGGTGTACTGCTCTTGGTAAATAGAACTTAACCTCTTGAACTCAGACTCTTGGACTGAAAAAAAACCTTCTGGAAGCACGAAACCTTCTGTGAGGCATAAGCAGAGAGCACAGAAGTGAATGTGTATGCGCTGCGCTGGATGGTGTACTGCTCTTGGTAAATAGAACTTAACCTCTTGAACTCAGACTCTTGGACTCTGCAGGGTGCAGTAAGTTTGTCTGCAAATGTTCTTCTCTGCAGGAGCGAACAGGCCTCTGGGGCGCTGTGCCCGGGGCCAAAGGGCGATCAGAACGGCACGGGGGGCAGAAATGCCATTCAGGCTTAGCGTCTGGCCAGTCCTCTTCCCCTTCCAAAGCACAGTCCCCACCAGTGGCCCAGCTCCCAAACACACCATGTTTTCTCCCCTTCTAAGAAATTTACCCATCTTACTAAAAAGATCATCCTGCATCGGAAAGGCAAATGCACAAAGTGGGCCTGGCAGCGGGACACTGCTGAACTCACTGGGCTTTTATTTACCAAGTGACAAACCCCAGTGAACGAGGAAATTACTAACTTATGGACTGGATGCTTTGAAGGATGTATCTGGGGGTGCCGATGGGAAGGACGGCCCATGCCCGCTACTGGGGTTTTTCTCCTCTCCACAGCATACAGATGAGAACAAAAGCTCTCATTTCTGTTCCTCCAAACCAAGGTCAGAAGTTACCAGGACAAAAAAAGGCAGCACATCTGAAACTGCAACACTAACAACTTGATCTCATTTGAAATCCTGTATTTTTCTTTAGGGCATACATGGAAATGTACAAATTTAAGAACAATGCCAAGAATACAATAATAAAAAAGACAGTAAGCAGGGCCAAGAACACAGTGCCTGAACTGCAACTGACTGTATGTGTCCAGAGATCAGCAAGTGCAAAGGGTGATGCTGCTTTGAATAAAAGCTGCCAAGTGTGTTAAGCCAATTAATACAAACGGGGTGTGTGCGCACTGAGAGTAACCTACAGGGCATCCAAAAATGGCCAAAGGCAAAAAAGAATAGCTACAACTGTTTTCAGATAAAGTATTCTCTTTATAGGTAGGTTGCAAAAAAAAAAAAAAAAAAAATATAGCAGGTTGGAATTGCTGGAAAGATTCCTCGCTACAGCAGAACAGCTTTAAAAACACACTCAAAGGCTACATCATTGGAAATGAGGCATTCACAGTTTGAAACATCCAGTTGGAGACTGGAAATTAACTTTGGTATCACTGAGCCACCACCTGCAGGTTTTGGAATAGATCTGCCAGCACCAAGACACTTCTTTCGTGACTGAAAAGGACTGCCCTGGTCTCACACACACACACACACATTGAGTGTGGGGAAATCCCAAGCACAGAGCACTCCTGGGAAGAGCAGCATGACACTGTGTCCTCCAGGGGCCTACAGCTTACACAATGGGCACCTGGGGGCTTTTGTAAACAGACACAACATTGGTGAGAGATGGAATAACTTGTTATCTAGCCAGAGGGAAGAAGCTTATTAAACAAGCATTTGGCTGAGGAACTTACGCACACAGAAGTGATTAATCTTGAAAGATCAACGTTTTCAAGCTAAATCAAAGGTTCTGCATTGCAAAGACAAGAAGATGTATTTCCTGCCAATATTTTTTTTGCTGGCTGAGTGTTGGACATTATGCTACTATCGAAAGTAAGACCTAGCTGCAAGTCTGATCCCACTCAGGAACCAACTAATATAAAGTTACGTGTACGATTGCCACAGTCCTGAGCCAGCCACAGCACTCATCCACCTCTTCCTTTTGTGGAGCTGACAGACAGATTTCCAAGGAAATCTAGGTAAACAGATTTTCCAGGTAGATTTTCCAGAAATATTTACAAGGGGACGTGGTGCACAAACACTGTTCTGACCTTTCAGCAAGAAGTTGTCCACACAGCTCCAGATTTCAAAGGCTGAATTTATCCTGCTGGATGTACAGCGTAAGGTCTACTACAGCTTATTCAGGAAATCCTCCCCTTCCTCAAATTTACTGATGCTTTTTTGAGCAGTCTACACTTTAAAATCCCCATATAGCTTAACAGACCTGCTGAGATGAAACTGCCGTAACTTTGTACATTTGTTGAGAACACCAGTTAAAATTAACAATCTCAAAAGAAATCCCTTCTACCCAGCAAATAAAATTTCTTATTTCAGAATAAAAATGAGGGGAGCAAGCGTTCACATAGTAACCTTACTGCCTTGAGCACTGGTCTGAGGAATTCTTTATTAAAAAAAATATTTAAATATTTTTTTATTCCATTGGTGGTAACAGCAGGAGTGGGAATGAGGGTTTGTGGAAAGAACCCAACCATGTCCTAGGACAATTTAAATTAAAAAAAAAAAAAGGAAAAAATTTGCTCATTGGACATTTTCAACAACAATATGGGGAGGAAAAAGATAAAAAGCAAGCTCTCTTAAACCTGGATAACTAAGATTTAAGAAAAAATCCACAGCGCCTTGACTTCCCAGGAAACTTCTGAGCTGAAACAGGGCCATGTGGAGGTCAGGAGGTGATTCAAAGGAGGGTGATATAAAGGTGCCTACAAAAATAAATGAGTGAGAAGTGAAAGCAAACCAGAGTGAGCGAGGAAACAACATGATGGCCCCCAGCCGTCGTGGAAGTGAAGACCACAGCAAACAAGTGCAGAATACTCAGAGAAGTTCTTGAGATGATTTTGTTAGAGGTACACTTTGGGAATTTTGGTTTTTTTTGTTCCCCTCAGAGTTTGACACAGAGTGTGTCTCAGAGCTTGTAGATTAAAGGCAGAACTTTTCAGAAGCATCTAAAGGATTTAGGAGCTTAAATTGCGCCAAATTTCATAGGAATTTGACCTGTAAATAATTATACTCTCCTGGAGTGTCTTTGTTTTCTGTTTTTTAAGTGTTCTTTTCCCTTGCAATCTCTCAGAAAGTACATTTCAAAATCAGGATGCAATTAACTGGAGCATCCCACATTACGGAATTCTGATGAGCAGGAAAACTGATGTATGCAAGTGGTATTTCAAATTTCTGTTTTTTCAGATTTCCTGGAGTCACTGTTTTTTCCTTGACAAAGGGGTTTAAGGCTTTCTGAAAGCAAGTCCCTCTTTATGTAGCCGACTACAGCACACTGGGAGCACAATTATGCTACTAAGATAAGATGAAATGCAGCAGTGATGCACCAATTCATCATGTTTGGGTTCTTCTAATGAAGCCCATTACTCACAGAAAAGAATTTTCTCAAGCAGTTAGTCACCAGCAGACAGCTTTGCCTGTTACTCCTTCCTTTTCTACAACTGGTGAATGGTCTGGTCCTCCCCTCACTATCTGAAAAGTGCAATATTAGGAAAAGTCAACACCTAAATTAAAAGTAAACAAACAGTATTTAACTTTCCCTTAACCAAAATACATTAACAATAAAACAGAACAGCTTTCAGGAGCAAGCCAACGTTTTTCATTAAGGAAAAAAAAAAGACAAAAAAAAAAGAAAAAACCAGCCTGCTGTCCTTCTAATACTACTGGACGATATTGAATACCTTTCTTTAGCTTATTAAAATAAGCATAAAAACAAACTACATATTAATTACAGCTTGCATAGAAACACATTGGTTTGTACTTTGTGCAAATCTTCCTAAATAAGGCGTGCTTGAGAGCTTAGGTAGCAATGCAGCAGTTATCAAAGAATGCTGAGAAACTGCAAGGAAAATTCCAGGCGGTCTGCAATCCACATCCACTTACACAGTCCATTCGACTTCAAAGACCAGCAGCTGATAGCTGCAGATCTGTCTGCAACATAAGGCAATGTGGTATGTGTAGGGTCCAGCACCTGCTTTCGGCTACTCACAGGTTTCATACACGTAAGATCACTTGAATCCAAAAAACCTGAGCTGCTAGTTAAAAAGAGGGCTTCGGATGTGGACTGGCAAGACCCGGTTTCAGGGAAAAGGAAGGGAAGGGCAGGAAGAGGACAAAGACACAAAGAAGAATGGCCCTTCACATAAAGGGGTTTTGTGCAGATCTGCCTGTATTTTTATACCCTGAACTGTCCCCACGGGGCGACGTTTTTCCAAACAAACTGTCTCCTAATAAGTGACCCAGAAGAGCATTTCTGGAACACAAAAAGCTGAAACGTTTGCCTCTCTTAGCCAACCTACAAGTGCCTTTTGCAGAAATTCAGCAAGAATCAGTAACACTAGAGAAGGGTGGCTCTGCAAAGAGGAGATGATGAAGGAGGAAGCTGCAGTAAGAGCAGTATCAGAATCTCACAAGTAAGTTATGCAGCACAGAGGGAGACAATAAGGCCTAACGTAAGGTAACGTGGAATAACATTTTTGCCTCCTTCTTCCCCCTCCAAATCAAGTATTTTCAGGAAATATTGAAGTACAACCTTCTTTTGTAAGCAGCTTTGCATTAAAAATCCATTTAAACTCCAAAAGCTTTTTTTAAAATGCATTGAAAAATCCCACTAATAATAATCCTCAAAATCCCCCAGTATTTTGTAACATAAAATGGAATGTTCCTGGGCAAGAGCTGCCAGCTCCTTCAAGAACTCTGGGAAAAGGGCAGCTGCAAGTACAGCATTCCTCACGTGTGCAGGGAGGCCGGGATGAGCCAGGCCCCTCTTTCCTTTCTGCCCCAGGAAGGGCTGGAGGACAGCCGGGTAAGCTTCATAGAGGCTCCTTCCTTTCCCCACACTGCTGCTCTGCTGCACATCACCTGAAACCAGGAGGAGAAGAGAGGGTGAGAACAATCACCACAAAAAAGGCTGAGTATATTGAGCACACACAGTATTTGTACAGTGTCCAGATGCAGTTTACGATGATTTCGTTCATAGCTGTACTCTGCAGTACCCAGATCATGCAGGGAGATACTTCACTAATCCAACATTTAAAAGTTCTACGTGGCCTGATTCTATTGCATTTTTTATTAGCTATCTTTCCCCAGGTTATATATTATTCAGTTTCAGCTCTGATGAGAGAAATATGTGGGCAGAAGAGGAGTCAAGGGAAAAAGTAATATGGATTTACCATATAAAGTAGCAGATAATATCTACCCATCTAGACCCAGCATGGTTGTCTCGACTTAAATGATACTGTGCTCTAGCCCTCCACCACATCAAAATATCTTTTGGACTTCTCTCTCTCCCCTTCTCTGTCTTCTCCCCATGAATCATCATGCAAATGGTTTTGAGGCCAAACTACTACCTCGCTCTCTTGAGTTTGGAGCAAGCTAGAAACTAAGGGAAAAGATTTCTGAAATCTTGATTTCTCTACAGCTGTAGACCCCACTACCTACACTTAACCTTTAACTCCCTGTAAATCAACTAAACGTTTAAAAAAGAGCAAGTGAAAACCATCGTGTGCTCTGTCTATGTGATCTCTACTGCCAGAGTTCAGAGGATCAGGGCTCAGGCATCAGAACTCATGGAATTACAGTGACAGCAGCACTTAAATTTCAATCAATTGCTCCTGGTTGCAACCTGAAGCAGAACCCCACTTTGATTAGATGATAATTAATTTAGTGAAACTAAAAAGGTGGCAAAACTTAACACGGATGGAAATGAATACTCAACAAAGAAAAATTAACCTGCAGAATTCGCTGCCACAAGATTATCATTGAGGCCAGAAGTGGAGACAGATAAAATCCTGTCTAGCTTACAAGTTTTCACTGTATAAATAAATCATTTAAAAAAAATCAAACAAATTAATAAAGACTGTTATATTAACTCCCATACTACAGATAAGCCAGATGCCACATTGCTGCATTAAGAAGAGTTTTCCCTTAGAGCGCGTGCAGTTGATGTTAAAACAACTCGGTCTCAGGTTACCACCACCACCCTTTTTCTGGAACCTCTCCAAGAAGCTCGGGGGAGGAGAACAGCAGGTGAATGCCTCACCCACAGCAGCAGCAGCAGCAGAGCAATCCTTCTGTTCAATAGCTCTGAACTCTCCTTCCTTTCCTGTGCCTCTCCTAAGGCACTGTGGCACCACGGCACACTTCCAAATACCCGAAAGAGATTTTCACCTTCATCATCTAACAGAGTTCTGCTCTTCTTGAGTTTCAAAAACCTTTCGAACTCCAGACTTATCAATCATTCATATTGTTATTCTACAAATTTCTATCTGCTAGAGAAAGAGTACAGGAGTTTCAGCTCTGTGGAAAACTCTTGACTGTGTGAGGAAAAACAACTTAAATTATGAATTACAATGAAAAGATAAAGTTTTGAGCTTCCCTTGAAGGTAGTTTTTCTTTTTAGATTTTCTAATGTCAAAATGTTTCATAATTAATATTTCTTAATAGTTCAGCCAATATAGCCAGAATGCTAGTATACTGCCAAAGATTTGTTTTTAACCTCTTCCCTTCAAAAACCATCAGAATTTTCTAAAAATTTTTATTTAGATTCAACTTATTGAAAACAAAACACTAGAAGCAAAACCAAACAACGCCCCCAAATTAACAAAACAGCAAAAGTTTAAAAAAAAAATAAAAAAAGGTAAAGCCCAGAAAGCTGATCTAGGGACCAGAGATTTGATTATTATTTTTTTTTTTTACCTCCTTTGCCCAGGACTGTCCATTTCTTTCTATGGTCAGGACACAAACTGAATCATACAACTGAGAAATAGAGTACACTCTGGAGATATTGTTACCAACACACTGAAAGAAGGGCAGCATTTCATATGGGATCTACATCGTGACAGCTCTACACGTGTAACCACGACCTACTGTGTATGGAAACTACATACTGCTGCAAGCAGAGAATAACAAATTGTCCATTTCTGCTCCAACACCTTCCGAGACCATCATTGTCAAGAGAAAGGAAATGCTCTGGGATATTTCACTTTAGGTTTGTGTTCCCCATGAAGTCTGGCTTCTATTTTTCAGAGGCGAGTTCTGTAGGAAGCCAGTTATGCTCTCACCTGTCAAGAAAACTCTGGGGTTATTCATCATTTCTGTCTGGGGCAAAAAAAAACCCTTGGAGAACAGCTCATTTGCATGATCCTCAAAGGTGGAATTCAAGATAATACAAAGAAATCTTACAGAAGTTCCTAATTATTTTTATTTAATTTACCTTTAGTGTAGCAGTTCCTATCTTGCACTTCTTAATCAATGTCATGAACTACTATGGGCTGATGGACTATTGAGCCAACTTGCCCCAAGAAGTACAGTTTGATTACTTGCATCTCCAGTCTTGCTGGGAACCAAGTCTGCAGTCACACAGACATTTATTTACTCTCCACCTATTTGTCAAAAAGTGGGTTCTTTACAAGAGTTGCCACAACACAGAAGAAAATGTACCAACAGGATGACTAAGCAGCCTTGTTTCAAATTCCTAAATAATGACCAGCATGAGTCAACCTGGCAAATCCTGAAGCCCACAGAAGAACACTAACGTAAAACAGAAACTATAAATAAATGCCACTGGGAATGCATTATATAAAAGTTCTTATTGCTAGCACCTGAAAAAAAAAGGACTCTGAAGCGTTGCCTCCTCATCTCACCACTCACATGCTCATTACAATACCATCTGACTGTAAGGCCTTCTAATCTATAGCACCCAAATGGAGACCCTAAAACATTACTGGCATTTGCAATGCACAGCTCCTTTACAGCAGGCACCTTTCACAGACTAATTCTTTGAGAAGCAACCTTAGCAAGATCATCGTTTTACAGACTAGACATACTGCAAACTTTAGAAACACATACCATGCTGACTAGAAACTACTTAAGTTACTATTCAGCACCTTAAGGAATGAAAACAATTAAAATGGCACAAAAATTCCTGCTTTTCAAACCTCTGGAAATCCAAGAAAAGTTATCAACATCTTCACAGAGGTAAAGGCAGAGAGGGTGATTAGTAATGACTCCCAGTGATGAGGAGACACACACCTGTAAATGCAGCCTCTCCTGAACCCTGTTGCTGAGTCAGCTCTTGACACATTCCCATCACGTGGGAAGTTGGATTTAAGGGAAACCTGCACCCAGCATTGCCAGCTCAGCAGCAGGCAGAGAACAAGCACAGGCCAGGGCCCCAGCTCCACTGGTTGCCTGGCTGCACCTGGAAAAACCCTGGTTAGAATGTAAGATTCTTCCTTTTGCTTATTTTAACTAGCTTCCCCCACGGCAGTGTAAATACTGGGAGCTGTCAAGACAGGCGTAGTGTGCACTGTGCTTGAGAAGCAGCAGATGTTGCAGAAGTCCCCTGGAAAGCTGGTTTGTTGGGATGATACCAGCTTAACTCCCCACTGCTCTCAAAGTGTCCTGGCTTTTACAGCCACCTAGCCTTTTTTTGTTTGTTTTTCATTCAAGAAAGCACATTCAAAGTTTTCCAGCTAATATCTAACTCCTTCAGCAGTAGCCCGAACCATGATACAAAGCCTTAGTCCATTGTTACAGAAACCAATTTATTCTGGACTTCTGTCCTCCCTTATCATTTATCAAAAAAGAACCAGTGACTAGCTGAAGGTCAGGCTAAAAATAAAATGAAATCATGCACATATGCCATCTCACCTCATGCCTTGAAAGCAAATTTGTTTACGGCCAAACTGACAGCAAGCCAAGAGCTGATGGTGTCACTCTTTTAAACAGGCATTTTCTGTAGCAAATAAAAGTTCCTCAAGAGCAAAGAATATCCAAATAGATACATCGACTGTGGCCTACTGAGCATCGTTAGTTTGAAGCCAGAAGAACACATCTGGTTCACAATATTCACACCACCCCACACCTACTTTTAATCATTCTGTAGAACAGGAGAGAGGCAACCGGTGCGTTGTTCCGCCCAGCACTCCTCCGAGGGCAGTTAACATTTACCTTTGGTTAGCAATTCTTCTGCAGCATCGGACGTGTCCACACGAAAAAGTAAGTACTGCTGGGCCTCCAGGAGAAGGCCTGGGAAGTCTTTTTCAATGGAAGCAAAATGTTCAATTTTATTTTTCACAGATGCCAGCACCTGCCAAAACAACAGTAGCGATTACTCCTTCCTCCCTTGCTCCCAGTGCAGCCGCAGATGGAGTGCTCAGGCTCTCTCTGGCTGCATTAAAACTGAGCTACTGCAAAAGTGATGGTCACACAGAATTTCCAGTGCTTTGCACAAATGTAATCAAAACATCGAAACGAGATGAGAGGCTCTCAGACAGGTGGGAAAGCAACAGGTGGAACTGAAAAGAGCTAAGGTAAACTTTAATGAGACACCAAAAATACTGTTCCAATATGCATGACTAATGCCTGTGGTCAAATACCTGATAAAGCGACCGCACGCTAGGCTGAAACACCATGTTGGTGTTGAGCAGAAAGGAGCGCAGGAGAGGCTGTGGGTAGCTTGCCAGTTGAGTAATAATCCCAATAAGCAGCAAATTTACATGCAAGGAATTCTCCAGCATGTTCTCCAGCTTTGACAACACGACGC